AAAAAAAAAAAAAAAGCATTAACTATAATAATAATAATAATAATAATAATAATAATAATAATAATAATAATAACAACAACAACAAAAATAATAATAATAATATCTTGAAACAATAAAATTGTTTATACTTATATAATTTATATTTAGTGTGAAATATTATGAGTTGGTAATAGCATTAATTATTATATAATATAATAGCAAAAAAATAGATGATTACACTTAATAGGGTGTATTAATGTAAAAAGCAAAATATGAATGACAAATTTTGTGATTTCTTTTAGAGGGAAAATAAATCAGTTTTTATTAATTAGGTTTATAAATACATGATTACACTTAATTAGGTTTTATGAATGATATTATTATTATTATTATTTTAATTTTATATTTCATGAAACAATTTTCTTTAGAAACAATTAGTAAATAGTTTTAATAATATAGTAAAAAAACTTTAAAATATTTTAAACAATTGTCGTTGTAATAAGAATAGTAATAATATTAATTATAATCATAATAATAAAGTTTTCAAGTAAATTATTTGACCATGATCCCTCCAAATTATAAAAATTACATTACCCACAATTTTTTTAAACAATATAGTGATTCATATGTACTCAAATAATTTATATAAATATTATTTTATTTTACTAATGATTAAATCTTGAAAATGTGATGTGTTTATTATCTAGAATTTTAATATTAAATTCACATATCTTGAAAATGTGATATGTTTATCATCTATAATTTTAATTAAATTCACACATAATACTTATAATATTTTATGTACATCTGTGCATGTGCACAGGATGATAACTAGTACTTAAGGATGACAGCGGTTCGGGTTCGGATCGGATGGAACCTCAGGGCACCCAAAACCAAAACCCAAACTTAAAAACCAAAACCAAAACCAAAATTGTTTCGGGTGAAAATCCTTCACCAAAAACAAAACACGCGGATACCCAAAAACCAAACAGATACCCAAAAAACCAAAAATATTATAATAAAACACCAAAGACAACAACATAAAACATGATAACTTAGAGAGTACCAGACAACCAGTCACAAATTAGCAAGTACCAACGTACAGTACAAGCCATAAAGGTAGTAGAGTACATAGCTAAGCCAAGCCATCACGGGAGACGGGGAGAGGATAAGAGGGAGAGGAAATTTCCACATAGCTAGGGTTTTTGGTGGGCTTTTTGATGGGCCGTCTATTTTGGGCACCCAACGGAGCACCACGGGCGAAATATAGGATCCGCACCAAAACTGAAGACTTTCGGGGTACCCGAAACCGCAAAACCGTGGGTGAAATTTGAGAACCAAAACTGAAAACCGCAGAACCAAAAACCGCGGATATCCGAACCGAAACCGAACCGCTGCCATCCCTACTAGTACTTATATAAAGAGCCATCCTATTTACTAAAATTAGTAGCAAAAAAATAGGTAAGCATTTAATGCAACCCATAAATAGTAGTTTTATTATTTTTCTTATTTTTTTTAAAAAAAAATCATACCATTTAATTTATAAATACGTTTTAACATAATTATACAATTTAATCATACACTTTAATTTATAAAAATCATACAAATAATTTTTTTCTTTAAAAATACGCTTATATATATATATATATAGTACTTTTTGTAGTAAATTTGAATAAAATGTGTTACATAAATATCTAAACAATTAAAAAATTCAAATGTTTAAATTAATTGGTAAACAATTTATAAATCTCTATTTTATTTAAATATGTAATTTTATTTAAAATAATTTGAAATATAGCCAAATTTATTTAGAAATCGTATTGATCCTGTTCAACCGACTGATGTTGACGGTTCAATAGCAAATATTTTATTTAAGTGAACTAGACTGATTATAAACCGGCTCTCAGTCCATTCGGCCATACTGTGTCCAACACGGTTTAATTTAAAAACAATGAGGAAATCTTGATTAATTTATTTATATATTTAATTTATAACACAATTGTAATATTGTTTTCTCGTGCATCGCACGGGACACACACTAGTATAAATAATCCATTTATCACATAAATTAGATTGCTTATAATTAAAGATTTTATTTGCAGATTGATCCCTATATTCTATCTAATTCTATCTAACATGCACCCTAGCCCCAAATCATCAACCACAGCCGCTGCTTCACTCACCACCATCACACAATCCATCAAGTCGATGGCAAAAATTGTCCACGATCCATTAATCGAAACTCGCCGCGTCTGGGTGCCATACTCGGTGTTCATCAACGTCGTTCCGACGAGCCTGCTGCGACCGCCTGCCCAGAGGCGCGTATATTCTCGTCGATCATCCTCGAGCGGGAGAGCTGCCTAGACTCTCTATGGATGAGCAAAACATTAGACGGCCTGAAGCTCCACTTCCCAACGACGACCGAAAAACTTTCTGATATACCTCGATGCGCGGTGAAATTTGGGCGGAGGCCGGCGTTCGGCTGCCAGGTGGCGGTAGCGAAGAACGACGACAGAATGTGTCGGTGGCGGCGGAGAAGGTGGCGGTGGAATAAGTGTACCGACGGTTGGTGGTGGTAGTGCGGTGGAGGAGTTCTGGTGCGTGAGCGTGAGAGATAGATTTGAACGAGATGGTAGGGGGTGGGATGAATTGGTGGTGGGGCCCACTTCAAGTGTCTAATTTATCCTGACTTATTGGTCCAATTTATAAATTTGACCAAGATATGCACACTTATTTACAAATTTGTCACAGCATGTTTGACTACTATTGATTAAATTTGACTTCATCATAACCGTTGACTTGATAAATCTAATTCTTCAGATTTATTCTTATTGCTTTTATTGTCTAACATTCTAATTTGAGTACACTTCTATATATATATAAAGAAAATAATTATTTACTAAAACTAGTAACAAAAAGGTGTAGGAACATTTAATGCATATCTTATATGAGAAGTTTTTAAATATATATGCATTAATTACTTTCATATACACGTTTTCTTATTAGATACGATCAGAAATATTTTTTCTTTAAACAATTTTATTCATCTACAATAATTTTATTGGTATCCATTACAATAATCTACAATCTGCTTTTTCCCGATTCATGTTGAAAATATTTTGGTCAACATAAATATGATTGAAAACAGGTTTAAGTCTTAACCGTATTATTATTTTATTTTGCACAAATATTGACTTTCATCCTAAAATATTTAAAAACAATCGTAATATGTTAAGTAATTTCTCCTTCCAACTAATTAGGCGAAATCAAGTTGGTAAATTAATATTTTCCGAAAATATTTTTAACTTTTATTTACTTATACTAAAATTAACTAATTTTTTTGTATTAAAAACAATTACCCTTTTGAGAGATAATGATTAGATACATTAATTTGTTTCTTAATCACCAGATAATAAAATTAAAATATATTAAGTATTCGTCAAAACTTCACATGTTATTTATTTGTATATTATTGTCGATATATTTTTTATATTGATTTCTTTACATAATGAATTTATTGTAAAATATATTTCCATTACATATAATAAACTATTTTTTTTAGAAATTGTTAAATCATATGTGTGTATTTTGTAAATATTTATATAAAATATTTATCTCCAATTTGTTAAATAAATTTAACTTAATCACATTAATAAGTAATATTTACGCACATTAAATATTTTTAATTACATAAATTAAGAAGAAGAAGTATACTACTTCTATAAATTTTATAAATAATAAAAATATAAATAATATGAAAATAAATTTTACAATGAAATAATAAATGATTCTTATATGGTGAACAAAAATAAATAATGCTATTATTTTTTTATATCAAGGAACAAATATTTATCTTAAAACCAAATTTATATTGTATAACGTGTTAAAGGAATAATATATTAATTAACATGTCAATGTCCTAGCTAAAATAAACATCACCGATTAAAAGATATGGAAAATCAATGATTCGACCCTATTAATTTTGTTGCCTAAACGGGCGAGCCGTATGAAAATTGCTCATTTAATATATATGTCACGCGCGTCGCACGAGCTATGTACTAGTAAGCATGGAACCTGGTACAACAACAACAACTACAAAGCCTTTTAGTCCCAAACAAGTTGGGGTAGACTAGAGATGAAACCCAATAGAAAAGTAGTAAAAAAAAAAAAAAAAGATTGGAGCAAAAGAGAAAAGAGCAAAAGTCACGGTTGTTCCGGCATGTTATAAAAAAAAAAAAAATGAGACTCACACGTTATAATTGCATGGCTGACTGACTGGACGCAGGAAGTGAATCTTACCAAGAACACAAATTATAAAACATGTATCTAATAAATAGGAAACTTACATACTGTGAATCTTAACCAAGACTTCAAATTACTAAAGCATTATATTCATTGGTATCTAATAAAAGAAAATTTTTGAATATCGTCCATATTACAAATTGCATTCATTTACTTTGTTTAGAGTTGTCTTAGAATGAATAACTGCCACAAAACATTCCTCCACAAGCGGAGGTTGCTCGAACCTATAATAACCAACACATTTGCCCTTTTTTTCATTAGGGAGTCCGAAAAATTCTATTACTTTGTAAGCTTGCTCGGAACACATACATACCGAGCAAACATCTAAATGGCCGGCATCAATGGCCGACCTGTCCTTGACGACGACGATGTTGCGAAGAAACAAGAGCCTCACACCAATCTCGAAATAAATGGTACTTATTCCTATTCTTTTTAAATGTCATTTTTGCATTATCGACTATTAACAAAATAAATGTCGTTTTGGGTGTTTTGTACATATATTTTTATTATTATCCTCATAAAGCTAATAAATACACTATGTCTTTTATATTCACTCTTCATATTTTCTCAAAACATTCATCTATATCCTCATTAATGAGGGTTATTATTGGCAAAAAAAATATTCTTAATACCTGTGCAACTTCTCAAAACGACACTTATTATGAATATGAGGGAGTATTATTTAGATTTCAAAATTTAAATACAAATGATTATAAATATTATATACTCTATTTTTTTTTTTTTTCTTTTGTGGTTCAAATTTTGGTTTTGCACGACTGATGGTTTGGGCATGCAATATGCAGGTGCAGAAGAAGAGAACGACTGCCCGATCGAGGAAGTCCGGCTGACGGTGTCGCCGGACGACGACCCTTCCTTGCCGGTGCTCACCTTTCGCACGTGGCTTCTCGGGCTAACGTCATGCGTGATGTTGGCGTTCATCAATCAGTTCTTCGGCTACCGACAGAACAGCCTGTCGGTCTCGGCCGTGGTGGTGCAGCTGGTCAGCCTTCCGCTGGGGAGGCTGCTGGCAAGGGTCCTTCCGGCAACCACTTTCACCGTGCCGTTTTTGGGCTGGTCCTTCTCCCTCAACCCGGGCCCGTTCAACCTCAAGGAGCACGTCCTCATCACCATCTTCGCCAGCTGTGGCTCGTCGGGGGTTTACGCCATCTCCATCGTTACAATTGTTAGGGCTTTCTATCACCGGCAGCTGCATCCACTGGCCGCTTGGTTATTGGCTCAGACCACGCAGGTAAATAGCATTTTTCCGTTTAATGGCTATCGCTCTGGATCACCGTACGTAAAATCTTAAAATCGTTGAACGATTTCGCAATTTGAGCTTGATAATGTTGGTAATGAATGATTTTTTTTTTTTATTTTTTTTGTTTTTATGATTTTTTATGCATCTAACTGTCTGCCACCTTGGTTCAGATGCTTGGTTATGGATGGGCAGGCATATTTAGGAATATCTTGGTTGACTCCCCCTATATGTGGTGGCCTGAAAACATGGTTGCTGTATCTCTCTTCAGGTTTGTCTTTAGCTAGCAACAATCAATCGTGTAGTATAATTAAAGGTTATTTGCATAACTTCTTATGTGGTGTGATAGAGCTTTGCACGAGAAAGAAGTGAGGACCAAAGGAAGCCTATCCAGACTGCATTTCTTCATTGTAATGTTTGTATCGAGCTTCGCATATTACATCGTCCCGGGCTTCTTTGCACCCTCATTATCCTCAATCTCCATCCTCTGCCTAATCTTCAAAGACAAGATATTCCCACAACAGATCGGGTCGGGCATGCACGGCTTGGGAATCGGCTCGTTCGCCCTCGACTGGGCAACCGTCAGCTTCTTTGGGAATCCCATTTCTACCCCGGGATTTGCCATCATCAACAGCCTCGTGGGCTTCTTCTTCGTTATGTACATCATGACCCCATTGGTTTATTTCAACAATGTGTACCACGCCAAGAGGTTCCCAATCTTCTCGACCAAGACGTTTGATGTGACCGGCCATCCTTATAACATCTCACGCGTTTTGAATGAGGAGACTTTTAGTCTCGACATGCCCGGATATGAGGGTTACAGCAAGTTGTACATCAGCAGCTTCTTTGCCTTCACTTATGGCATTGGATTTGCTGCCCTCACCTCTACTATTAGTTATGTCGCACTTCATCATGGGAAGTAAGTCACATTTCAACTCTCATCTTAATCATACTTAGAACCTTAAGTGGAAACATATATATTTTTCTATTCAAATATGTGGGCAGAAATATTATGGATTTGTGGAGTAAAACAATGAATGGCATACATGGGAAAATGGACGTGCACGGGAGATTAATGAAGAAAAACTATGAAGCTGTGCCAAACTGGTGGTTTTACGCCATTCTTGGTGTCGTGTTTGGTCTCTCTTTGTGGGCTTGTGAAGGTTTTGGCAAACAGCTCCAGCTTCCCTGGTGGGGGCTTATCATGGCTTGCGCTATGGCTTTGTTCTTCACCTTACCAATCGGCATCATTCAGGCCACCACGAATCAGGTACGGGCCAAATGTGATTTGTAGGTATAAAGGAAAATAGATATCGGTCATATCGCCTGTCATCATTACTATTATCATTGTTAACTTTTATTAAAATATATTGTTCGAAAAAATTGTTTTGCAGCAAATTGGGCTAAACATCATAACCGAGATGGTTATAGGTTACATTTACCCGGGAAGGCCCCTAGCAAATGTTACTTTCAAAACGTACGGATACATAAGCATGGTACAAGCACTTGGGTTCGTGAGTGATTTCAAATTGGGTCACTATATGAAGATCCCTCCCAAGTCCATGTTCATCGTGCAGGTTCGCAAACATGCACATGCATTTATTCGATATGTTCAATCGTGTCGGCTATATATATATATATACACACACACACACATATATTCTTTTCTAATAAATCATAAAATAAAATTGGGTGCCAGTTGGTTGGCACCATAGTTGCATCGAGCGTGTACTTCAGCACATCGTGGTGGCTCCTCTCGACTGTGGAGAACATCTGCAACACGTCCCTTTTGCCCGAAGGCAGCCCGTGGACGTGCCCTGGTGATGAAGTCTTCTACAACGCGTCCATCATATGGGGGGTGATTGGTCCCCTCCGAATGTTCACGAGCCAAGGGGTCTACGCATCCTTGAACTGGTGGTTCCTGGTCGGACTCCTAGGCCCCGTCCCTGTGTACCTTCTCGGGCGCAAGTACCCACACAAGAAATGGATCAAGCTCATAAACGTGCCACTCATACTGAGCGCCACAGCCAGCATGCCACCGGTGAGGGCGGTGAACTACATCATGTGGGGGGCGACTGGCATCTTCTTCAACATCTACGTGTATAGGGTGTACAAGAAGTGGTGGGCACACTATGCTTACGTGTTGTCCGCTGCCCTCAATGCCGGGATTGCTTTCATGGGGGTGCTTCTCTTTCTGACCCTGCAGTCCAGGGATATCTGGGGACCCGACTGGTGGGGTTTGATGTCAGACGACCACTGCCCACTGGCCACGTGCCCTACCGAGCCTGGGGTGCTCGTTAAGGGCTGCCCTGTCCTGTGACACACCTCTTATATGGATGGGAATGATTAACAAGACTATTGTAATGTATTATCTTCGGTTGGCTACACAAACAACACTAGTGTAACTTTTTTTATTATGTTGACAATGTAAATTACACAGATTTTACTGCAAAGACTCACAAGACATCTCACCATTATCTTAGGGCACTCACTTCTATTTTACTCAAGTAACTCTACAATTCACAATATGTTGTCTAGCACTCACCTTATTACAAAGTATTGGTACCAATATTACCACTCCTAAGTCAGGTTCAGTAAACCTGCCATAATTCTTTGATCTAACAATATTAAAGTCTGTTAGCCCTTCTGTACAATTTATTAAATTAATCTTTTGGTTTATTTAGAAGTTAAAGTTGGTGATCGATCTATACACTACAAAAAAACACTACAATTCCAACAGCAAAAATTTCCGTTGGAAATTCCAATGAATATTCCAACAAACTTAATTTTATGTTGGAATAAGTGTTGGATAGTTGAGGAATTCGAACAGATTTTTTCCGTTGGAATAGATGTAGGAATTTATTTCCATAGGATTTTCCGTTGGATTTGCTATTCCAATGGCCGTTTTTCCAACGGATTTTTATACGTAGGAATATCCGTTGGATTAGCAACTCCAACGGAAATATAAAAAATTTCAACGGAAAATTTCCGTTGGAATGTAAGAGTTTTTTTGTAGTGATATTTATTTAAAACTCCCTTTCTCCATCGACATCTACCCATTCATTATTCTCGGCCACCTTATGTCCAAATATGTTTTGTCGTATTAGTTTGAGCCTCTAAACTTTTTTCCCCCTGTACTTTGGACTTGGTACTACTCTTGCTAGTCTACGATCTTATGAATGACGAACTTTATATTGATCTTGCAGTACTTATTCACTTCCTTTTCGCCGAGAACTTTTTATTGATCTTGTAGTACTTATGCACTTTCTTTCGCTGAATATAATCTGTTAATTCTTGTTTACTTTACTAGCTCTTGGAGTAAAGTACATATTCGTATCAATCGCATTAATTTTTTTATCGCACTTGTGAGCTTCAATTCTTCAACTATCATTACTAGACCTTCCATATGCATGGTTGAACTCTCCAATTTCTTCATGTGCCATGTTTTGTCCCTTGAGCTTCCAAAGTCATCTATCAACTCATCATGGGAATTGATATGCCCAACGAACATCATTGTGAAAGCCATCTCGACTTCTTCATCTTCTTCATCTTCAGTTAGTGTTGATAGTATTTTAAGGTTCAATTCATCTTCGTTTTTTGTATTCCACATTTAACGTGGCTACATTACCTTGTACAAGCTTCTTCGGCGACCAACCATTTTTGCAATATGGCCCTTGTTTTAACAATTATAGTACTTATCTTCGAATATTCTTTTTTCTTGAGGCTGACCATTCATATTTTCTTTCTTTTGTGCTCTCATTGAAGGTGAACTCCTTGCATCTTCATCTTCCTCATCGTCATTTCTTTTCCTTCACTGATAATTTTTGTTCGGTCGACCTCTGCTATCCTTTATTAAAAGTAATTCTTCATCATCTGAAGATGAAGCTTTGAACATTTGCTTAGCCAACACATCTTGATCCACTTGCAAAATTGTTTATTGTGTTTTTGTGGTTTTTTTATGTGTTTTATGTGTGTAGTTGAGTCGGTCTTTCGTTTGTTTTATTATCTAACCGGTCAATTTTAGTTGTTTCCGTGTGATTTTGTTTTCTCTTTTGTTTTTGTATTTTTTGGCGTATTTCCTTGTCTCCTTGGTGTATGTAGGTCCACATTGTGCGTGATTGGGAGAAGACGAGCCATTGTCCAAACCGTTGTCCATGTTCTTGATGCCGAGCCATTCCGAGATGAGAAAGTCGAGCCATTTGATCGAGCTATATGAGTTTCCTTAATAGAGATCACCCTTTGAGTCACCCGAGTGAAGGAATCAAGTTGAAGGTCACATTCGCCGCGAAATCTAATTCGCGGACCACAAGAGGGTACTTGGTGGCCAATCCTAGACACTCGCCCGCGAGTTCATTTTCGAGACCCGCGAAGCAACCTTCTATGCGCAAGAGAAGGATGACACTCACCGCGAACTGCACTTGGCGCCCTGCGAAACGACTGGCCTGCACCTTACCATCCATGCACTCTCCGGGAACCACATTTGGCGCCCAGCGAAACAGCAACTTGTGCCCCCTTAGCCTAGCACTCGCACGCGGACTTCATTTGGCGAGCTGCGAAGTGCATTTTTGTGTGTTATTTTCTTCCCAACTCGCTGCGAACAATATTTCGAGACCTGCGAGCTGCAGATTCATTAAATGTGTGTGCACCTAGTGTGTGCTTTTTGGAGACCTCTATATATATATATATTTTCCTTTGTATTTTGGGGATCCAACTCTCATTTTTCACTTTTCCTCTTTGGAAAATTAGTTCATGTTTTATTTTTGCTCTCTAGATTAGGAGCTTATGTTATTTTCCGAGAGATTTTCCGGCGACTTCGGTTTCTTTCAAGTTTCGAGCTTTTGACTCCGTTTTTCATCGTCTACGCAATAGAAGAATGAGTATTTAGTTTTAAAGCTCTTTACTTCGGTTTTTGCTCCGTTTTTACTTATAATGTTCATTAGGGTAAACTTAGATTTGATTGATGATGGAGGAAATGCTTGTACTTGATTGCTTGCTTGAGTAGATAGAGTCGTTAATTGCTTGTTGATCTCGGTTAGACGACTAGGGTTAGCAATCTAATGCTCATAGCTCGTTTATTCCGTATGTGGATTGATTATCATCCCGATATGGTTATGGCATGAGACTGCGGTGATCTAGTTTGCTAATTGCTCGTGATTTGATCTTGCCTTTAGTTAATTGCTCGTTTTTAAGTGCTCGTTTAGTGGTAATCAACCATCCAATCAATTGCTTAGAATGTTTAGGACTTTATTTTCCCTTTTTGTGATTTGGACGATCATTTAGTAGACAAAGCTCCGAATAGCCTTCCCTCGAGATCGACCCGAGTCGGGTAACTCGGTTATCCTTTGCCCATCAAATCTCTACTAAACAAAAATTTCTAACTTGATAAGAGAAGATTGGATCGACCCACCTTGTAAAACAACAACAATGCTTCAATATTCTTGTCTCATTTCATAAATGATCATACTTCTAATCAGAGTCAGACGTGCCGGTAAAATGATCTAAATTAGATATTTCACGATAAATGGACTTTACCTTGGCGAAATATTGGTTTATCGCCATATCATGTTGTCTAATCGAAAAGAAGCTCGTTCTCCAAGAGGTTGTGACCTCGCACCACTCTTCCTCGAAGACAATCCGATCAACGTGTCCCACGATATTGGGTTTTGATGAAAAACGTCGATCGATGTTAGAATCCTAAGTTTAACAAATTTAATGCTTAGAAATAATTCTCATAAATTAAAATTAGCCAACTCAGATAATATTGCACACATCATGGGATCAGACAAACACATCGTACGACCTTAAGATCTTCTACTGTATTGCTGATATCTCTTAGATCGTCTTGGTGGGCGGCTTTTGGAATTTCCCCTTCATAAATTTCACGTCCAATAGTTTTTGGAAAAGAAAGAAGAAGATTTTGTGTTTAGAAACACCATCTTTTTTTTTTTTTCTTTTTTCCTAAAACCTCTTGAACTCTCTCTCATTTTTATTTCACACATTTTGGGGCGTGTTTCTCCTACTCAAGAGACTACAATTTATGAGGAAAACTTGATGTATTTTTAGGCCACAGTACAGACCTTGTGGTGGTGCTAAAATAGAACTCTCAGATCCACAGGGTTAAAAACACATGTTTTGGTCCACCTATACACAGTGGCGGACTCAGAATTTTTTATCAGCCAGAGCAAAATAAAAAAAATACTTAAATCTTTTTTCTAAGTTCACTTAAGTTAAAAAAAAAATACAACTTTTCATGACGGGATGGTAATTATCCACGACGTGATTTCATATTTTGAAACCGATTCATTATAGCATCATTGCTAATGCTATTAAATACATCTATCTCATTCGACATATTGGTTTGGCCCAATTATCAATGCCGTCTATTTATCAAAATTTCTCCCTTTTGAATATCTTGTCACTCCCCATTTTCACTTTTTGTCTGAAACTTTTACATTTATTTAAATAAGATTTTCAATGATATTAAAATCTGAATAAACTTTTAAAAATTATCAAAATGTTAAATTTTACATTTATTTAAATAAGATTTTCAATGATATTAAAATTTGAACAAACTTTTAAAAATTATCAAAATGTTAAGTTAGTGTACAGAAAAAACAAAATTATGACATTACCTTACCAAATACTCATTTTTTAAAAATTTAGACAAGCAATGTATCTCTGTACCAAAAAAAAAAAATAAAAAAAAATAATAAAAAAATAAATAAATAAATAACGCGTTCAGTATGATAGATAAGGAAAAAACTAATAAAAAATATTATTGCTTCACATGAGCAATTGATTTTCAAGATGAGCGCTCTATAAACAATGATAATTCAAATTTTTGTATATTAAATATTTTATTTATTGACATTATTTTAAGATTTGTAAAGATTTTTATGATTTTCTCAATAATTTTAATAGTTTATTTAACCGTAAGTATATAAGATAAATTTCTTAGCAATATTTATTTAATTTTATAAGTTTATTAATAACAATTATGTTAGTATTAAATGTGACATGGAGGCCAAAACTAGCGATAATTATACATAATATGAATGTTTAATTTAAATCAATTTTATTTCTTAAGCAAAAAATAAAAAAAAAACAATACGATTTACCAAATAATTGCTTTAATGTTTTTAAATTATCTTTAAGACTATTGAAATCTATATCAAATTGTGTACCATATGTGTGTAATGGTTGATGAAAAATATAATAGTATTTGAATGAAAAAAAAATTGAAATTCAACCAAAACTTGAATATTAATATATATTTATAACTCACGAAAATATATAATTAATAAGATCCAATGAAGAAAA